GGAAGGGAAGGGAAGGGAAGGGAAGGGAAGGGAAGGGAAGGGAAGGGAAGGGAAGGGGAAGGGAAAGAAAAGAAGGAAAGAAAGACTAGCCGGGCATTGTGGTGGGTGCCTATAGTCCTGGCTATTTGGGAGGCTGAGGCAGGAGGATCACTTGAGCCCAGGAATTTGAGGTTGCTATGAGCAAGGCTGACTCCAAGGCACTCCAGCACTCTAGCCTGTGGAGACAGAGACTCTGTATCAAAAAGTAAAACCCACATTTTGTGCCCCAACCACTTCCTTTTAGATAGAAATTTCTGGCACTGTGAACAGGTTTCAGAGCAGCGACCTACCCATGATCATCGACATTCCTACTGGACTCAGACCCTGGCCAGCTGTGAACAGATTCTGAGAAAAATTGTTGGCTAGAAAGCATTGAGTCCTAGGTGGTACCTGTGGCTCAAGGAGTAGGGTGCTGGCCCCATATACCAGAGGTAGCGGGTTCAAACCCAATCCCAGCCAAAAACTGCAAAGAAAAAAAAAAAGAAAGAAAGAAAGCAGTGAGTCCTGCTGAAATTCTGGACCTGTCTAAACTCTGCTGGAGCTGTTCTTTCAAACCCTCCTTTTCTAGAACAGAAGTTTTCCATCTTTACACTGTGGATAAGAGATTTGGGTTACCTCTGCCTTAGGATCAGAGATTTGGGTCAAGGCCAGGGAAAGAGCTCCACTAGAATGTTTGCTATTCTGTTTCTGTCCCACAACAGTAAGTTCTGCTTCACAGTATTGGCACTCAGGTACCAGTGCTCTCCTTTTACATATACACTTTTTTTTTTTTTTGAGACAGTGTCTCATTCTGTCACTCTGGGTAGAGTGCCCTGGTGTCACAGCTCACAGCAACCTCAAATTTTCAGGGTTAAGCAATTCTCTTGCCTCAGCCTCCCAAGTACCTGGGACTACAGGTGGCCACCACAACACCGGGCTATTCTTTTTTTTTTTTAGGGACAGAATCTCACCTTGTCACCCTCAGTAGAGTGCCATGGTGTCACACAGCTCACAGCAACCTCTAGTTCCTGGGCTCAGGCGATTCTCTTGCCTCAGCCTCCCAAGTAGCTGGGACTATAGGTGCCCACCAAAACCTGGCTATTTTTTGTTGCAGGTTGATCCAGGCAGGGTTTGAACCCGCCACCCTTAGCATATACTCACTGAGCCACAGGCACTGCCCAACAAACAAACATGGTCATTGTCGTCTGGCAGGCCAGGGCTGGATTCAAACCCACCAACTTTGATGTATGTGGCTGGTGCTATAACCTCTGTGCTACGGGCCCTGAGCCCTGAGCTATTTTTTTGCAGTTGTTATTGTTGTTTAGCTGGCCCAGACCAGGTTCAAACTCACCACCCTCAGTGTATGTGGCTGGCACAGTAACCACTGTGCTACAGAAGCCGAGCCTACATACACATTTTAAACAATCTCAGTTGCTGCCTGTAATCATAGCACTCTGGGAGGGTGAGGCAGGAGGATTTCTTGAGCTAGGGAGTTCTAGACCAGCCTGAGCAACAGTAAGATCCCATCTCTACTAAAAATAGAAAAACTAGCCAGGCATCATGGCAGGTGCCTGTAATCTCAACTACTAGGAGGCGAGGCAGGAGGATCCTTTGAACCCAGGAGTTTGAGATTGCTGGGAGCAAAGCTGACCCCAGACCAAGGCACTCTACCCTGGGCAACATAGTGAAACAAACAAACAAACAAATAAAAAGGGCTCAGCACCCGTAGCTCAGCCGCTAAGGCGCCAGCCACATACACAGGAGCTGGCAGGTTCGAACCCAGCCTGGGTCCACCAAACCACAAGGACAACTACAACCAAAACCTAGCTGGGCATTGTGGTGGGCACCTGTAGTCCCTGTTACTTGGGAAGCTGAGGCAAGAGAATCACTTAAGTCCAAGAGTTTGCTGTGAGCTGTGACGCCACAGCACTCTACCGAGCAACATAGTGAAACTCTGCCTCAAAAAAAAATCTGCTTTCCTACTGTTGGAAATTCAGGCTTGATTTTTCTTCTTGTGACCAACCCCTACTGCTTCAAACCCCAGGTAGTTTTATGTATGACATTTATGGGGCACCCTCTTGTAGATGCCTAGGAAGTGGACCCACCTAACCCAGAATGAGCATAGCAGCAATGACATAAGTGGGTGTCTTTTGAAATATCTAATAAATTTCTTTATGCACAGTATTGGTGGGAAAAGCTGGTTTTATAACTAGACAAATTGAATAGGAGACTTATTTGCAAAGGCACCTAAGAAGCTTCTAAAAGAAATTCTGAGAAAATTGCCTACGTTTAGGAGACAAACTAAAGGACACCCATCACCACCTCCTGAAGAACTACCCCAGATCTTTGATCCCTTCCCTGTGTGAATAGAAAACAACAGCAACAACAACCCAAGCTCTGTAAAATAAAGAGATTTATTCTGAGCCCACTGTGTGTGACCCTGGTGCAGAACACACGGCCTCAAAAGGTCCAGAAAAAAATGCGCCTGAGATGGCTACTTTAGAATTTAGTTTTATATGTTCCTGGAGACAGACATTATCTGTAAAATCATAAAGCAGGCAGGGCATTAGTGGCTCACGCCTGTAATCCCAGCACTCTGGGAGGCCAAGGTGATGGGTTATCTGAGCTCACAGATTCCAGACCAGCCTGAGCCAAAGCGAGACCTCACCTCTAAAAATAGCCGGGTGTTGTGGCGGGCGCTGCCTGTTATCCTAGCTACTTGGGAGGCTGAGGCAAGGGAATCACTTGAACCCAAGAGTGAGGTTGCTGTGAGCTATGACACCACAGCAGTCTACTGAGGGCAACAAAGTGATACTCTGTCTCCAAAAAAAAAAAAAAAAAAGTCATAAATCGATATATGGAAAGTGTACCTTGGTTTGGCCCCAAAAAGTAGGACATCTTGAAGCAGGAAGAAGGTAGGTTATAATAGGTAGGTGCCAAGATTTTTCAATTTATAATAAGTTAAAGAAATGAAGCTTTGGCAGTGCCTGTAGCTCAGTTGGCAGGGCGCTGGCCACATACACCTAGGTGGCAGGTTCAAACCTGGCCTGCGCCTGCTAAGCAACAATGACAACTGCAACCAAAAAAAGCCAGGCATTGTAATGGGCACCTGTAATCCCAACTACTTGGGAGGCTGAGGCAAGAGAATCGCTTAAGCCCAAGAGTGGGAGGTTACTGTGAGCTGTGATGCCATAGCACTCTACCCAGGGTGACAGCTTGAGACTCTGTCTCAAAAAAAAAAAAGAAAAGAAAAGAAAAGAAAAAAAGAAAAAAAAAGAAATGAAGCTTGGA